AAAATTTTTTTGGTGATAAAACCTCTTTAAGTTATGCTATATAAATAAATATTCGTCCGTGATTCTATTTCTGATGTTACTACTTAAACTTTGCTCTTTTTGCTTGTGTAAAACTGAAATTTGCTGCTATGTTTTCGAGTTGTTTCATTTAAACTCCATATTTGTCTAAAATCATCTCAAGTTCTTGAATTTTATGTGTAATTTGTTCATTTTTATTAATTACATGAATAATTTATGTTTGTATAAAAAGCTTTCCTGGCTTATATATTATATATTTCCTGGCTTATATAATATATTGGCATAATTTTAAGCAAAACGCTATTGTTGTATAAAAAAAACAGTTTTTAATAAAATATAGTATTTTATAAAGCATTTTTTCTAGGATAAAATAATAGAAATAGTTGGAATATATCTGTTTTTTATAAAAATAAGTTTCAATTTTGTTTAGAATATTACCATTCTATATCTGGTATCTTGCATACCACTGAAGTAATAAAAACTGGTCTATAACTAGCTAAAACTGCGTTGTCTCCTTTTTTGAAAAAATGACATATATTTATGAATATGGTTATAGTTATATTTAAGATCAGATTTGAATTGGGAGTTGGCTTGAAGTTGAAGAAGTTGGCTTGAAGTTAATGATTCTCTGAAGAAGAATGTTAAAGGAAGTGCAAAGGCTTCTGAAGAATTCTTTAGCACGGTAGAGTGTTTATTAGGTTTTTCAGGTCCAAAGGCTTTACTTCCTTTAAGACTATGAAGCCTTTTGAAAACAATACTATAATTGCTTTCGTCAGGAGATAGTTCAGAAAAATTTATAGCATAATTGTTAACTCTTGAATTACACTTAGGAAGAGCATCATCGGCTTCAGTAACAAGTGCATCTTGAAAACATTTATTTAAAGTGTTAGCATTTTCAACTTGATCTTGTGTAATACTTTTGTAAAGCTTTTGTTTAATATTTTACCATTTTTTATTGGATTTTACTTTTCTTTTTAAAGTAAGTCTTTTTATGATTCATTTGAGAATTTTACAATCCAACATTTTATACTCTTAACTCAAATTAGCACCTTCCTATTTTGGAGCACAGTTTCTGTACCTAGAAATTTCTCACTTTTCTAATCAGGGATTTAAGTTCTTTTTTTATCAAAGAATCTAATTTATATATATATAAAAAACATCTAAAGTAGGAATAAATATATTGCTTCCAATGCTTGAGTAATAAATCAATTCATTTGCATATCCTGAATTCGTATATTTTCCAACAGCTGTACCCAGTCAGCATTTGAAATAAATTAAAAAATTTTATAATAGTGCTTTTTTGTAAGCAAACTTATAACAGTTCACAGTAGAAGTTTCATTTTCCGTTTAAGAAAGTAATATATACTAGGTGTTCGGACCCGTATGATCAGGTCATGGAAATCTGTTCCACACCGACCATTTCTCAACTTGTTCTTTTGCATAAATTTTTTTAAATCAAACAAATTTATATTATTTTTTTATTTTTTATGTTGATTTTAGGTGCCCCAAGAAGTCCTTACGGTCTTATCACAGAGCTAGGCGGAAGAGCATTTAATAGGAAGTTCACGCCTCCTTCCCAACCGATGTCGCAAAACTTGCCCAGAGGTAAGGTTTAAATCACGGATCTTACGTTTCTGAGGCAAGTGTGCTACCACTGCGCCACGACTGTTGAAACATTTGATGATTATTTACAATTAGAATCTCAAACATCAAATAACATCAAAGCAATTATGTGTAAAAACTGGTTTTATTACCAGGAAACACAATTATTTTTACGACAAATGTTTCAAATTTCAGTTACTCTTTAACTTTTGACTTAAGATAAATTTCAAGTCATGAAAATTTACTAAATTTAAAACATATTTCAACAGCTGAAAAAAAAAAAAAAAAAACGAAAAAAAAACACTACAAAAAAATGCAAAATGTATATATCCCAGTGGGCACCGGACCAAAAAAAGACGTCTTTTGAACGTTGAAAAGACGTCTAAAACGTGTATAAGACGTTTAAAAGATGTCTTTTTTTACGTCCGTGTCCACTGGGATAACAAAAAATAGTGTAATACATCATTACTTGGATGAAATGATGTACATGTTAATGGTGCTTGCAATTTTTTAAAACAATTTATTGCTAGGCAAGAATAATTTATCAAAAGTTTTAAAATAAACATTATTGTATAAAAATCAAATAACAAAAAATAGAGATAACTGAAAATGAGAAAATTTTATAGACAAAAATATACGTGCAGAGCACAAACTGTTAATCGAACTTTACTGCACAGCCCAGTTCTCTTTTTATAAATACTGCATTATAAAATTATATTACAGCAATTATGACTTTTATATATAAATGTTCTGTGCAACCTAAGATTGTAATGACACGTATACATAAATATGCAATGGTTTTTAAAGTTGCAATTAACTGATAAAAATCTATATATTGATCAAAAAAAATCCTGAAGCTATTCATCATTTTTTTAAATCGATATATAGATTTTTATCAGTTACTGAGACTTAGTCTTCAATATCGCTCTAACATTTAAGACAAAGCTTAAATAAATTTAAATTTGTTGATCCAACATTGCAGTGCCCATTGGGGTCATTCCTGATTTTACTAACACAAAGCTGGTTTTCACAAACGTTATTCGTTATTACACTATCCTAAAATGCAAAAGGATTTGATTAATCTTGTTGGAATGTTTATTATTGGCTATTTTGTAATAGTGAAATAATGTTTGACAATTTTGTTTGATGTACGATTTAACAAATTAAAGTTTAGTCCCCCGCAATGCAAACATGCTTCAGGTTTTATTTACTTTGCTTAAAAATGTTTTAAAATAATATTTAATTTTTGTTTTAAATTACCAGATGGTTTCCTATATATAATATTAATAGTTATTATTTTTTTTAACTGTGCCAATCAATTCGACTAAATGAAATAATAATCCAAACTAATATAATCAGGCCTATACATAACGCGCAACACTTGAATATGTTGTCTCAATCTCAAATTGAATTACGCATTAATCGTGAAATTACACATTTTACGCATTAATCGTAAAATTGCACAAATTGCAAATTTTTGGTCAATTTGCGATCTGGATAGCGCTATTGCGCATTCCAGATCACAACTTTTATTTTAATGTGGTTTTTTTAAGTAAAAGAAGTGGGGGCATAACCGCATATGGAGGCACTATCGTTTTTTAAAATTTCCCTTTGAAAAATGTTATCTAATATGGGAAAAACATACCACGCGTTGGTAAAACATATATATATATATAAAACAGTTTTCTTCATTTTGTTTATGTCAAAAAGAGCGCCTGATGCTTTTCTGAGAAGTTTGTGCATAATAATATTTATTTTGATAAAAATATTATATTTACATTATATTTTCCAGACCTTTCTTTTGAGGATTAAGCAATATTTGATTATAGTGTTGAAGGTATGTGTTGTCAGCGTTATTTCATGAAAGGAAAACCATTTTTGTTATCAACATAACCTAATAAGTAAGCTATGAAACTGTATTCTTTCTAAAACCTCTCTTCTGGGGCAGAACCGCATAGACGCACAGGAGACACAATCGCATACTTTTGATATTTATCAAAGTTAGGTAAATAACAATATATACAATTGTCACGTTCATGTAAAAACTTGAGTTAAAGTTAAGAGTATAAATCAATATCTTGTTATATTTATGTATATCTAGCCACTTTGCCTTTATTATTTAAAAAAGTAAATTTGCATCGTGTAATATAAACAAACAAATTTGGAATTAAATATTAAATAAAGTTAATAAAAAATTAAAATTAACATGTGATTAGGTATCAACTTTTTAGATGCTAGCTAAAAGACCTATTTCTGGCCATATGAACTTAATTCTGATTGCATAAAGAAGTTCACCAATTAAAAGAATTATTGATATTATACAGTTTTAACAACATTATTTTCCAATATTACTTGCAATTCGAGCAATTTACAAACGTTTAAGAATTTGAATTAAAACTTTCAAAATACCAAAGATTGAGTTTACGGAGACAAAAAGTTTATTTCAAGTGTGTTATTGAAGCATCGGGAAGTCTTCGTATATTTTAAATTGAATATTTTAAAAATTACTGAAAAATTATTTTTTATTTTATAAAAGAACAACCCCACTCTTCATTAATAATTTTAGTGCTTTAGAAAAACGGTCAGAATTAGGACGTGGCAAGAAATATGTCAGTTTACATTATTAAACGTAATAAATAATATTTCTGTTTATATATATTTATGTAATATATGTATACAAATAATATTTATGCATCATATATACGCATTGCGCAACACATATATTGTGCATCAAGTGTAACACTTAAATTTATATATATATATATATATATATATATATATATATATATATATATATATATATATATATATATATATATATATATATATATATATATATATATATATATATATACTAACCCAGTGGTCACCGGACCAAAAAAAGACGTCTTTTAAACGTAAAAAGACGTCCAAAACGTAAATAAGACGTTTAAAAGACGTCTTTTTTACGTTTGTGCCACTGGCAAATGTTTTTTTGTTGTTGTTGTAAAATGAGCATAGCTGGGCCAATTTAGAAATAGATGAATTTTCCATGCATCAAACCTTAAATATAATTATTAAAAAGTTTAATAAAATAGTAAAGATTTAGTATTATCTTATTAAAGTTTTTTATTTATAAATTAAATTATCTAACATATAAATTAGATTTTTAATGATTTAACAAAAAAAAAACATATTTTAAATTTTTTAGTTAATAGCAATCGAAACTAAAGTTTTAATAATAAACTAAAACGTTTTAAATCGTTTAATAACGTATTTAATAATTTTCGAAGTATTTCAATACAAATTAAGAATAGCAAAACAACCTATTCGTGTCCACGTGTTTCTATCAGCAGTTTTAGTTTCGATATTTGAGTTTTCAACAAATAAAAAGTAACTCACTCATTTTCAAGAAATAAATAAAACGCTTCTAACAGTAATTTGTGCAAACAAACAAAATTTCATTTTAAAAAAATATTTCTTAGTGAAAATGGAAATTATAAGACTAATTTGTTTTATTTCAGTAACTATTAACTTACTTACATTTTTACGTTTGTTTTGTCCGCAAATTGTCCGTTTATTTTTGAATAAAAAAGACGGAGAAAATCGTGAAATTCGTGTCATTAATAAATTAAGAAGACGAAAATGCATTACCAAAGCAAATGGAATTTCCTTGTTGTAAGTATTCGTTTTATTTGTCTAAAAGCCTTACTTAAGTTAATTTTTTATACTTTGTTAATTTTTTTCTAGGATTATAAACTCTTCTATGAGCCTCATATTTATAATATCGGCAGTGTATAACATTATATTCACCTCAGTTCTGAAGAAACCATTTTCTACATTCAGCGTCAGTATATCAGTCCCAATTATGGTTTGTCTAGGATATGTACTTTTTAATGCGTTTCAATTTATTTTATGCAAACAATTGAACAGAAGAAACTGCACTGATATGATTAAAAATTTTACTCATACGGTTATTCTCTTGACAATAGTCTATACTGAAGAAAATGGACTAGCAGGTGTACTAATTTTGTTTTCTTACGGAAGCACCATTACTAGTGAAGTAAAGAATGTTACAAAGCTTTGTAGAAGCGTTAATTATAAGTTAGTTCTTATTTTCGATCTTATCGCACAAGCTGTTTTCAACATAGGAGTTCCTGTTTTAAGTTATGCGTTTATAGTAATTTTAACGAAGGAGCCATTTTCGACAATGCGACATGCATCATTAATTACTTTTGGTGCCGGACTTCTATTATATGTTATATTTGTGTCATTTTTTTTCAAACACCAGTGTCATTTGTTTTTAGACGAATATGCATGGTCAAAACTTTTAGAAACACAACATAACTGGAAAGCAGACAGCCATAAGCGACTAATTAGTTGTCTTAAAACTAATAAACAAAAACCAATTTTCTTTACAAATCAAAAAGTTGACCGCAAATTTTCTGTATAAAGATTTTGTAAAAATAATCATATGAAAGATTTATAAAAAAATTATATAGTTACAGCTTACGATGCATAAACACTAAAAGTACCAATGTAACATGCAAAGAGTGTATCATTTATAAAGATAAAAGAAGAACAAAAAAGAAAATTTTTTCAAACTATTTTTTAAGTTGAAATTGAAAAATATTAACTATTTATGGCGAGTACTTTTCTAAAAATAAGAAATAGCTTTTATTACAAATGTCATTAATCTTAATAAATGAACAGTATAATCTATGGTTTAAAACCACGCATGTTTTTAAAAACTACTGATCTACAATAACCCTGTTGACACATCTAGTTTCACTTTCGGAATTAAAACTTGTCTAGTCACGTGCTTGTCACGATCAAGACGTAAACCAAAAATACGTTAATTCCCGAACAGTTTAACTCGTGTTTCACATTTTCACTTTTATCACGGTTTCACATTTATTACGGAAATTTAGTATAATATAATACGTTTCCGTAACGGTGAAACCATTCATTTAAGGTTTTAAAATTCATATATGAATTTTAAAAAATTCATATATTAATTTTTTAAAGTTCATATATTAATTTTTTAGTGTTCAAAAGCTATGATTATGTAAAGCTTACACCTTCACCAAATGAGGACGTTGTTTCAATCTTTTTCAAAACATTCTAATGTGACATAAGCATGAACATTCTTAAGTTTGCCACTTTTAACAAGAATGACAAATTTAATCATACTGGTGGCCCTGTCTGAATAAGAGCAAAAAGTTGAAAGATAGCAATAAAATTAATAAAAATCTCAAAATAAACAAAGAAATAGAACAATAAAACAAAAAAATAGAACACTATTACAAAAGTGTGGCTCAAAGTATATATATACTAAAATATGGATGCACTTTTGAATGTATAAATTATGCTATATTAGATTTAATGTAGCTACATGTAATTTCATTGTAACATTATATACGAATTGTTTTGTAATGGCTTGTTTTATACAAGATAGTTAAATTAGCTGAGAATAAATTTGAAATATTTACTAACTGCTAACGAAATAATCAGGTGTTAGTAATTATTTAAAGCAAAATTATTGCTTTTTCATAGTTATATTGTTGTTACATCTCAAAATTTACGTAAGTAGACACCATAATTGGTAATCCATAAAGTCTTAAAACCAGCTGCCGCAACTCGGAAAAAAGTTACGCTTGGTATCTGTTGCGTATTTAAAACCTTCTAAAACAAAAAGAATAACACGTTCCAAGAATGGTTTCCGTTCTGTGAAATTTACTATTACTATTTACCAAAAACACTAGTTAAAATATTAATGGTTTTTTTGAACGCTAAGAGATAATAATATGAAACTTAAAATTTATCGATGAATATTAGTCTAGTTGAAAACAGTTCAAAAATTATTTCATCAACTTGTTGCTCTCACGTTTGAGGCAGGGGGGCCAAAATTTTAGGGCTTTTTTGTTACCAAGCTCCAATCATCACAATTTTTTGCAAAGCATTCTTATTTGACACAAATATAAACATATAAATGTTTGGAGTTTGCTCCATGTCTAGAACTTAGCTATCTCAAAGACCAAAAATTGCAATTGGCGCCACTTATTTAAAGTCGTGTAATAACGCGCAATACCAATCTTATTCAAAACAATTTAAAATTAAATCGTGTATTTTGTTTAACTTGTGTTTTCATGAAAAATATGTTTTTATAACACCGTTATTTTTATATATAAAATTAAATATTTTTTTTTGTTAAAGAAAAGTTTTTGTTTTCTTATTTAAAAATATTTATTTAACATCTCCTAATTTAGTATGTTGTTTTGTTAACATTTACGGTTTTGTCATAAACTTAAAGATTTATCGTTTATTGCATCAAAACTAAGCTTTCTTCTCAAAAACAAAAACTTTATATGTAAAAAAATTCGATTGTGCAGCCGTGGCGCAGTGGTTAGAGTTCTGGCTCAGAACCCAGAGGTCCGAGGTTCGGCGCCAGCTCCAGCCCAACAAGCGACATTGGTACGGAAGGAGGCGTGAACCTCTTGTTAAATGCTCTCCCGCGGTGCTCTGTGATAAGATCGCAAGGACTTCTGGGAGCACCTAAAATAACTACAAAAAAAAAAAAAAAAGTGAGTGACGGATCCACTCGGTGTAGTTTAAGTAATTTTTAAATATTATTACGTCTATAAGGTCTTTTGCTGAGCAAAACTTAATCCCAGTAATTGATTAAATCGCTCTGACGTCAAGAAAACAATCGCATCGGTGTCGCGTTAAATAAGTAGATCGTTAAATAAGTAGTTCATTCACTTTAGCGCAAGCGTGACGCATACGCAGATACGTCGTAAAGCCTATAAATGACGTAGGCCTATAAATATAAACAGATGCGTGACTCGCAGCTTTTTGCTTATAGCTTAGTGAAGCCAGCGTCAGCCATTTTGCGGTGCGGCAAAAACATATGACGCGACTATAAAAGCATTCATCTAAAAATCATATAAAAATGTTCTAAATAATATTTAGCCATGAAATTTTGAATAATTTTTTATTATTTTGATAAATTAAATTTGATTTGATTAATTACCCGACGGGCATTTGTTTTTAAAAGTTACGTTCTAAATGTGTTTTAAACGTCTTTTAAACGTCTTTTAAACATTAATGTTTAAAAGACGTTTAAAAGACATTTAAAATACATTTAGATCGTAACTTTTAAAAACAAGTGCCCGTCGGGTAAGCATCTTTAGAGAATTAATTTTTACTATATTTTCTACAATACATACAATTTTCATAAATATACAAAAAAATAAGTAATGGCTGGAGCAAGAAAAAGACAAATTCTGTCTTATCACCGAGCCCCATTTTTATAAAATCGTGATATATAGATATTATATTATATTGGCGTAATTGCTAAAATGCTTACAATATCTGCAGTTGCAAAAAGAAAAAGAATACAGCTGCGGTTGCAAAAAAAAAGACGATTACATACTTGTAATAAAATAAAATAAGATAATAATAAAAAAAAAAAAAAAAAAAAAAAGATATATAAATATATTTATAATAAGAGAGTAATATCATTAATAAACTTTGTTATTGTGGGTTTTGATAATAACATTCAGGGCTGTGGAGTCGGAGTCGGAGTTGCGGAGTTGCGACATTTTTAGCGGAGTCGGAGTTGGAGTCGTTAAACAAAATCGCGACTCCGATTCCAATAGTAAAACTTCTCGGTATTGCACGTGCATGTGCAAAACATTCAATTAACCTTATGTTCATAATAAACCTCAAAGAACGTTTCATAAACTTGTAAAAAAAAAAAAAAAAATTAACTTACCGCGTAATATTTTTTTAAGAATTCAAAGAATTTTTCAAAAATTTTGCTTTAAAGTTGTAGTCGGAGTCGGAGTTGGAGTTGTACTCAAAAAATTTCTACAACTGGAGTTGGAGTCGGAGTCGTTACTTTTTTTTTTACGACTCCACACCCCTGATAACATTCTTTTAAAATAATTTTTTTTTTTTAAGTTATCTTAATTTTTTATTAAAGCTTTACTTTATCTTAAAAAAAACATTTAAAATCTAGCATAGTGAGATCGACACATAAGAACAACCGTTTAGATTCTTTTTTAAATCGATCAAGAGTGGTTTTCTTTTTATTTATAATATCTGAAAATAAATTCCATAAATACGGCCCACGATACTTAATTGAGTATGAACTCAATTTTAGACTATATCTTGAGACAGCAAAGCTGTTTACTGAGAATCTTGTGCTATATTTATGGCATATTTTACCAAAATAAAATTCAATTATTTTTGGCAACATTCCTAGCTTAGTTCTATACATAAAATCTAAAATTTCATGTAAATTTGTTTTATAAAAATTTAAAGCTCTAAGTAAACACAATAAAGGCTTAGAGGGTTCTGCTCTATTTACTCCAAATATAATTCGACATGCATGTTTTTGTTTACTGTAAAGCTTTTTTAATTTTGTATGATTGGTACTTGTCCAGGCGATATTACAGTAAGTTAGGTAACTTTGGATCAAAGCAAAGTATAACCTTTTAGGCAAACTAAATTGTTCAGAATTTTGTAACATGTAATCATTTCTTGCTTAAAGCGACAAATTTCTAGTAGTTCCAAACCAAGAATACTAAGTCTACTTGAATATGAAACATTATTTAGGTTAGAAATTCTCTTGGTAAAACGTCTTTGTACTAGTTCGATTGTATTATTCATTTCAGTGCGATTTGGCGACCAAACCGGAGAGCAATATTCTAAGATCGGTCTTATATAAGTAGTGTAGGCTTTAACGATAACACGTGGATCACGACTTTTAAAACACTTTAGGATTAGATATCCTCGAATGTTTGATGCGCGGACGATATTTGAAATATGATTACTGTAATTTAAGTAAGAATCCATGGTCACACCAAGATCTTTTGGGTTTGTAGACCAAGTTAAATTATGATCGCCTAATTGATAGTTGTAATAAAACAAAATACAGTAGGTGCTGTTCTATGAGTAAAGCACTTATTTTTTTGACCAGAGATAAACTTTATTTACACTCTCTACAGCAAGATCGTGACTGTAATCGGCATCCTTAAATGAACAATATAACTTGATATCGTTAGGATATAACATTAGATAGCAATTAAGATCTTTTACTATAGAGGGTAGATCATTAATATAGGGAAACATGGGGCAAGATGACGAACGTTTTGAAAAACACTTATATCTTAGTCAATAACTGTTCCAATAAGTAAAATTATTATTCGCCACAATTGTATCAAAAAAACCTTATACAAATTAAAAATAGCTGGAGAAAAACTCATTAACATATGTCACCTCGAATAGTCATCTTACCCCGTATGGGGGGCATATGGCGACTACAAAAAAAAGTTAACTCCATGATACTGTTACCGTCTCAAAAAAAGAACAATATAAATTTTAGTTAATAAAATTAGAATACAAAGAGTGATTTAATTTTCAAAACAATTTAATAATATAATTATATATAGCTATGCAAAAATAGCACCCTGCTAATTAGTTAATAGCGAAATCAAAACCAACAAAGTAAAGCAAAATACTTTAACGAATAATAAAATAATGTAATGACAAAAATAGTGACTAAGCTACACAAGAGTAACATACAAT